GGTTCACTACTTAATTTTCTAATCTTCAAATAGATAATATCAGTATTAATTAATTTATTCTAAGCCAAGGGAAAAAAATAAAAGCTTCTCAATTTATTTTATGAAACAAGCATAATTTTAATACTGACAAAGATAGTTCACAAAAAGGAACCTATGGACCAAGTTAACGGATAGCTATAAATGCAAAGATTCTAAATAAAATATTAAATAGGTCTGACAGTGGGGACACTATAACTACATTGACTTTATTGTTAAGTTCCTAAGTTCAGCACCCAGAAATCTATCATCATAAATATTTTCATCAGTAAGTTAAAGATGGAGAACCATACTATTCTATCAAAAGTTTCCAAAAGGGTCATGGTAAAGTTCAGCACTCATTCCTGTTAAAGATTTAAGGAAAATAAGAACAGAAAAAGTGTTGCTGTGTATACCAAACTCTATCAAAAACCAATATTGGGGGCTGGGGTCGTGGCTAAGTGGTAGAGCAATTGCCTAGCTTGTGTGAGGCACTGGGTTTGATTCTCAGCAACACATATAAATAAATGAATAAAATAAAGGTTCATCATCATCTAAAAAACAATTCAAAACAAAACCATAACCAATACCTTTCTAATCAACAAAACACCAAAAGCATTTAAAGTCAAGAACCAGACAAGAATGCCCAGTGTTGCCATTTTAATTCAGCATTTTCTTAAAAATTTAGAGATTCAAGCAAATGCAATAATGTGAAAAAATAAAATGATTAGTATAAACATTTGAAAAAAGAGACAAAAATTGCAAAATTTATTTTTGCTCCTAATTCTCTTTTTCAGAGTTAAGCCTGCTATTACAATTCTGGTTCATATTGCCTTGTAGCTTTTTGGAAAATACAACAAAAGTAAAAATTGAATGACATAAACATTTGATAATATTTTCTTTCACTAATGACACAATTACATTCCAAGAAAATTTAGGAAACTAGTTTGCTGTTTTTTTTTTTTAAATTTCAAATTGATTAAGACTTTGGTGACAAGATTTACAAAAAGAAAAGTGCATACAAAAATTAATCATTTCTCACCAAGTGTGGTGGCACATTCCTGTAATCCCAGCAGCTCAAGAGGCTAAAGCAGGAGGATCATGAGTTCAAAGCCAGCCTCAGCAACAGTGAGGCACTAAGCAACTCAGTGAGACCCTGTCTCTAAACAAAATACAAAAAGAAATAGGGCTGGGGATGTGGCTCCGTGGTCAAGTAACCCCTGAGTTCAATCCCTGGTACCCACCCACCTCCAAAAAAATCATTTCTCTCTACTATAGCATGTCCATCTAGAAATGGAAATGAGAAAAATAGTCAATTTCAGTGACAAAATTATAAAATATTGAGGAGTAAACATAAAAAAGAAATGTAAGAATATGTTTAAAAATCTGATTAGAAACATGAAATCTGAATAATATTTAACACCACATAATTTGTTTGTTGAAAGGAATTAATCATAAAATTCATTCTTACAAAAGATACAAACAAAATAAAATCCCAATTATAATCCAAGTGGGCTTTTTGATTGTAAGTAAAATTACATTGAAGTATGCTAGACACACAGAAAATGCACAAATCATTGTGTGCCCATGTAACTGACAGCCCCATAAAGAAATAGAACTTAGCCAGCATGTGGAAGTCCCCCAGGCCTTCTGTCTGTTCTCACCCTGGGGTCCTTCTCTCTTGACTTTTAACACCATGGATTTATTGTGATTCACATTGTTTTTCTTTTTAATTAGACAAACTGCTTAAAACTTGGAATAAATATTCTGAAGAGAAAGAGGAAAATGGGAAAAAAGAAAGACAGTGGGGGAGGCCTAACCTTATCAGATATCTTAGTCCTCCTAAAAGCCAATGCATTTGAGTCATTGTGTGCAGAAACAAATTCACCATAAGCAGGACAGAAGAGGGTATAAACATTGATCCCAGTACAAGGATGTGGGCATTTTGTGAATGGCAAAGCTGACATTCAGTAAGGAAGAAGTGGATGATTTAACAAATGATGCCAACTCAATTTATCAATCTCTAGAAGAACAAATTGAATCTTATTTTATTCAAAAAGGAATTATATGTAACATATACGTGTATATATTATATATAATACTACACAATATTATATTATATCATAAAATATTATTATAATATATAATGCCATATATTTATATATAATATGCACTATTATATTATAATATATATAATCCCATATGTACCAAAAGAAATTCTGCACACATTAAGAACTTTTAACATTTATATAAAATCAAACAATAAATAGCTTAGAAGAAAATCTAGATAACAACATGGGTAGTGGAGACCTCCTTATCAGTGCAGGAAATCTAGAATGTTTTTGACCTATTTAAGTCAAAAAGGCTTTGCAAAAGACAACAGGCAAATGGTGGATGGAAGTGGGGAGTTATATTTCCTCCTACAAATTGACTAGAAAAATAGAATGAAAAAATGGGCAAAGAATATGATTGGGTAATTCACAGAAAAGCAAATCTCAATGCCCTACAAAGAATTAAAATGATGCTCAAGTTCACCAGTCACCAAGCAAACTTCAAGTTAATTTTCCACTGAGATATGACTTTATGGTATCAAAGTAGAAAAAATTAAAACAAGAGAGATAGCAACTGTTGCTACCAGGGGTGTGGGCAAAGAGTAATCTCCATATTTTGCTGCTGAAAATATGTTTCAGACTTTTTTGAAAACAATCTGGATACATCATTAATTCTAAACTGCACTTGCCTTTCAACCCTGGAATCCATTTGGTAGAAGTAAATGCATCAGTGTGTAGGATATATGTATATTTATTGTGCCATTGTAGGGACAGAAACTTAAAACAAAAGAAATGCTCACCAGGAGAGAAAGAGTCAGATAAATTCTGAAAGAATCTTTTCATGGATTATTATGTAGCCACTATAAATAATGAATTAGAGTCACCACAGGGAACTGAAAGGAATTTCCATGAGGAATTTTTGAGTGAAAAATTGAGGATGTAGAGAATGCATGATTTAATTTTTCTAAACCAAAAACCAAACCTTGGGGGAAAAAAAAACACCTAAATATGTGGAGATATACACACACACACACACACATACACACACACAGGTTGACTATCCCTTATCTAAAATGCTTGGGACCAGAAGCATTTTGCATTTTAAATTGTTTTGGAGTTTGCAATATTGCATATACACAATAAGATATCTTATGATGGAACCCAGGTCTAAACATGAAATCCATTTATTTTCTATATATACCTTATATATAGGATCACATTATACAATAATTTTAGTGTGCCTGTGTTTTGACTGTGATTCCTCACTTGATGTCAAGTGTGATATCATGACAGCACTCAGCTCTGAATTTGGATTTAGGATTTGTGGGTTTAGGGATGCTCAACTTGTATATCTGTGTTGGACTGTGTGAATAATTGGGTATCTCACAAAAACCTTTCAGTTATCTGAGACAGGAGAGTGGGATCCAGAGCTGCAAAAAGCATCTGTGAGGGAAAATGTGGCAAGTTTCAGGGAGCGTTTGCAGGAGGGGGCGTTGCTCACTTGCTCAGGAGCATTTCCAGCGTTCTGGGTAACCCCAAGTTCACACCCAAGGTTTCCATTGTGGGCCGTCTCTGCAGGGATAATATGGCCAGGCTCTCCTTAGAGGATGCTGGTGCCTCCCCTTTCTCCCAGGATCCAACCTGATGACATCAGATCATTGTGAACACCAAGGTCACTGAAGGACTAGGTTGCACAGGGCTGGGTGGTGTGGTGGGGGGAGGCACTTCTGAATTCTCTTGCTCCAGCAGCCTTATGTAATCATGGGACTTCTGGGAACAGAGTCAAATAACCCCTAGGGCCTATGTGACCCAGTTTTGGAAAGTCTAAGTCCTTCCAAAGTCCACAAAAGTGGACTCCCAAAAGTCAGGCAGAATAGACTCCAATCTTCACGTGTATCTCTCAAAGAGCATTAAGGGATCTAATTCATAATCCGCATCAATACATCTGAAAATGCCCCTTCTCAGGTTTAATATAAAGTGATGGGAATGTTCTGGAATGAGATGGAGGTTGGTTTGACAACACTGTTGAGAGTACTACATGCCACTGAACTACTCACTTTAAAATGGTTCGTTTTAAGCCAGGTGTGGTGGCATATATCTGTAATCCCAGCAGCTCAGGAGGCTGAGGCAGGAGGATCGAAGGTTCAAAGTCCACCTCAGCAACTTAATGATGCCCTATACAACTTAGTGTGACCCTGTCTCAAAATGGGGAAAAAAAAAAAGGCTGGGGATGTGCCTTGGGTTCAATCCCTAGTACCAAAAAAAAAAAAAAAAAAAAAAGAAAGAAAGAAAAAAAAAGTTAATTTTATATATGTGAGCTTTACCTTAATAAATTATGTAAAGGGAAAATCCTTTTTCTCCCTGCCTCAAAATGCTTTTTACTCTCAACTCTTCACAAAATACTCCTAAAGCCCAACCTTCAAGCCCAGTCGGTTTTGCAAGTCTCTCCTCCTCCTGCTTCTTGTTCCGCCTCTGTACCTGATCACCTTATCCCACATCTCAAAATCCCAGCAGACAGACTGGTAAACAGGGCTCCATATGGGCAAGAAAGAGGGAGCAGAGGGGGAAGGACACGTTTTTCTTTAACAGGTGGTGGGAATGGGCGAAGCGAAGGCTGGCATTACTCACTAGGAAGCTTTGTCCCTGCCACACGTGTGAGCCGAAGGTAATTTTTGGACTGACTGCCTTCGGCTGCCTGTCCTCCCCCACACTCCAAGTCATTGTCCCCGCCTGTCACGATGACTGTCTCGTCCCCCAAGAAATGAAGGCTCTGTGGCTGGGATCCATATACTTCTGAATAGGGGCAAAGGACCTCTGGGTCCTCAGCATGCCTGAGTCTGCTCCAGCCCTGGCTGTGTGCACTCTGGGGGAGGCAGCAGGAAGGGACAGGAGAGCTGCTTGGCAGTGCACAGTCTCACAGAACAGGTGGTTTTGTTTATTTTTCTCCATTTGATTTACAAAATTGTACCCTTTAGTAAAACAGTCTTGGGGTTCCAAGCACAACAAGTACAGGCACAGTTGAGATGACATTTAATTAAAATACAGAAATATAAGCAGTAGATATCATGATGGAGCGGCAGAGATTGCCGCCAAATAAACATTCAGGCAGCCACCGCCATTTGGCTGCTCAGTAACTGAGAGGACAAGGAGGCAGAAGTGTTTCCTGCTCAGCCCTCACCCTGTCACCTACAGATGGCAGCAAGGCCAGCCATGGGGCCCGTCTGCCGGGTCCAAAACTCACAACCCCAGCCCTGGCTTCTCCACACTCTGCCCTTTTATGATGTTAGCCATTCAAATACTTTTTCTTCCCCTCCTGGGGTTGCCAGATAAAATACAAGAATGCCCAGCAAAATTAGAATTTGAGATGAACAAATAATGTTTGACTCTAAGCAGGTCTCATGTAACACTTTTATTTTTATCTGCTAAATCTGGCCACCCGATACTGTCCCCGAAGGACAGGCTACTACTTTGGCTTCAGAAAGGTGGTCATTTGGACAGGTTAGCTCTGTTATAGGGAATCAGTCCACTATTACTAGTATCAAGAAAAAATTCTAAAGGAGGTTATGGTACCATAGAAAGAACTTTTTCTTTTTTTTTTTTTTTCTTTTCATAAACTCAAATTGACTGGGGTTCTAATCCTGGCCCTGTCACTTTCCAGCTGTGTGAGCCTACACAAATGACATCAGTTCTCCAGACTTCCATTGCTCATCTCTCAAACAAGTTTATTGGTCATAATGATATAACTGGTTTACTGGGAGTCTCAACATACCAGAGGCCTAAACATGGAATGGTTTCATTTTACTGAAGTATGCTTATGTCAAATCCTCCCCAATTTCTCCCTTGGGTAGCAGCTCCTTTGGTGACACATTAGCCCAATCCCACACTGTTTCAGTCACCTTCTATTATTAAACAGTTATTTTTGATCTTTAACACTCCAACCTCTTCATTTTCCAATTTCCATCTTCTATCCATTTCAAATATTTTCTTCCCCGCTTAGGATTGCCAGATAAAACACAGAACGTCGGTAAACTGTCGATTTTAGATAAACAATAATTTTGACTCTATGTGTGTCTCATAGAATACTTTTATTTTTATCTGCTATATCTGGCCACCCTATTCTGCCAAGCACAGGCGACTAGTTTGGCTTTAGAGAAGCGGTTCTCAGTCCTGGATTCTCATTAAAAACTTCAATGCTGAGATTCTACTCCAGACCAGTATCTGGGCACATCAAGACTCTTCACTTCCCAGGGTGACTCCAATGTGCAGCCAAGGTTGAGACTGTTGCCCGGGTCTGAGAGGGTGGTCTGGCTTCCTCTGGTTCCTAGCATGCTCTGCTTTGGTACTGGGGACAGGAGGAGAAAGGGGAGGGAGTATCATCTTACTTGACTGCTTGTTGTAAGCCTATAATCCTCTCCGTTGGTCACCACAGCTCCTCCATTTGACACTGACAGGCCATTTGTTCCCTGTGGATGGCAGGCATCCAAATATGGGCTCTCCTGGGAAGCCCATTTGTTGAGTCGCTGCAGGGCCCTGTGAGGGTCTCACTTTCCCCCTGGTATGGGAGATCAGGGTTCATTTTGCTTCTGAACATCAACTGTCTGCCGGTAATCCCCACCTCTGACACCTGTGGCTGAGGGCTCCCTCCCCCACTGGCAGCCTTGTAGGGCAGGTGGGTGGAGACTGGCAAGATAGCATAAACCACTGTTATGGTTTGGATGTGAGGTGTCCCCCAAAAGCTCACTTGTGAGACAATGCAAGAAGGTTCAAAGAAGAAATAATTGGGTTCTGAGAGCCTTAATCCAACCAGTGAATTAATCACCTGATGGGATTAACTGAGTGGTAACTGGAGGCAGGTGGGGTGTGGCTGGAGGAGGTGGGGCATGAGGGTTGTGGCTTGTGGAGCTGGCAAGTGGAGTCTCTCTCTCTCTGCTTTCTGATCATCATGTGAACTGCTTGCCTGTGTCACACTCTTCTGTCATAATGTTCAGCCTCATCTTGAGCCCTGAGGAATGGAGTCTGCTGTCTATGGATTGAGATCTCTAAAACCATGAGCCCCCAAATAAACTTTCCCACCTCTACAGTTATTCTGGTTGGGTCCTTTTTGTCATAGTAGTGAAAAAGCTGGCTAAAACAACCACAGCACCTTCTGCAGGGTCTTACTGACTCCCAGGAACCTCAGGTACCCCTGACACCCCAAGACTGGGAAGGAGAATGCCTTATCCCAGGTTCCTTACCTCTTGTGCATCTAGAAGCTCCAAATCCTGTATGGTGGAGCCAGAGGCAATTTTCTATGACAGATTCTGGTAGTCCCCAAATTATTATAAGCAGAGGCTTATTTCAGTTCCTCCCACTTACGGAGTAAGTTTCATACCCCCTACAGAGATGTGGGCTTCCTGCACAGAGACCTCCCTCTCTGTACTCCCAGTCCACCTGGAGGAGATGGTGGGAGTTGGAAGTGTGTATGTGTTTGTGGGGGTGAAAGGACAATTTTTCAGCAAGTCCCTGTGGGAACTCAGCTGGCTCCAAATAGAGCCATTCCGTGTCCCATCAAAAGTGGAGTATGTCAATGAATCAAAGAGCACTCTGCTGTCCGGTATAACTGATTAGAACAACAACAACAACAAGAAGACACATACAAACATAAAACAAATAAAATAAAAGGAAGGATAATTCCCTATATCCTTCTGAGAGAGGTGGGCCCTGCTGATATCACCCTGAGCTCATACTTCTGGCTTCCAGATCTATGAAAGAATGAATTTCTATTCTTTTAAGCCACTAGTTTATGGTAATTTGTTATAACAGCTACAGAAAACTAGTCCTCTATCTTTAGTGCTAGCACAATGCCTGACACATGTTAGGTGTTTTAAAAGTGAATTAGTTAATAGAATAATACATGAGGATGTTGAAGCAAGGCTTCAGTTATTTCTAAGTAACTGGTACTGAACACTATAAAATTATACCTGACAGATTTCCAGTTGGAGGGTTATCTAGGAAGAACACTAATATTTGTTGAGTGCCTGCTGTGTACCAGACACTAGAGTAAGTTTTTCATTCATAAATGACACACAGTGGGAGGAGGTACAAGCACTATACATTTTAACGGCCCAAGCAAGGTCTTTGGAGTCATATCTGAGCTCTGATTCTTCTTAGCTGAATGACTTTCAGCAAATTATTTCAACACTTAGCCCAAATTTACTTATTTGGAAAATAGAGCAATGATTTCAATTTCTCCCCTACCCCCTGTCTGGAAGATTAAAAAATATTTCATATGAAATAGCTGCACACATAAAAAAATCTCAACCAACATAGCTACTAGGAGTGAATTATGTGATAGGTGCAGAAGAAGTGTTGGAAGTGGGCACTAGGTCTCCCACCCCAGGATGAGACATAGTACGTACTCCATGTTTTGTTTTGTTTTGTTTTTTTGGCAGGGGTGGGTGGGGGCTTTATATTTTTCCCATTTTTATTGATGCATTATAATTATACATAATAGTGAGATCTGTTGCTAAACATTCATCCATACACACAATATAAAAATATAATTTGGTCAGTATCATTCCCTATTATTTCCCCTCTCCCTCACCTCCTCTGCTGCCTGCCCTAGGACTTTATATTTTTTTAACAGGACTATTGAGGTATCATAATAGTCATTGATTATAGTGTAAAATTTGGGAAGTTTTATATTTTAACATTTTTTTTTGCATTATTTCAAATGGAAGCAGCCAGTATGAGTTAAATGTTGGGTATAAACAGAAGAGACTGAAGAAAACCTTTGAGCACAAATTGTTGGCACTATCCCTTAAATCAACTGTAACCAGATCCACTTCCAAGTCATCTGTGCAAGGCACTCCTTCAGAAATGGTCTTCCCAAATGGTGAGGAAAAGGCTGTGTCACTTACATTTATAGCCCAGTAATACTGAATTAATCTGAGCTCGTGCAGTAGGTCTCAGATGATACTTCCTCTTCAAAACCGTGCATGCACTTCAAGTCAGGTCTGGCATCTGTGTCAAAGTTGAGTGGTAAGAAAGGAGGGTTGTAGAGGAGGAGACCTAGACCTCCAGAGAGGGTCAGTCAGGCTGATGTGGAATCCGTGCGTGAACATTGCCAATTAGATGAGTCCTGACTCCAACAAGAATGGGCCATCTCTGGTACCCTGGCTGTGTTCAGTCCCTAACTAGGAGCAAGGCCTCGGTGCAAAGTCAGAGATGATTCCAGAGAAGTGGCAGTGGCTGTGAGTCAACTATACCCCACCTCCCAGAAGGTTCTCCTGAAGGAGATCTGAACAGAACATTTTCATGGCTGCCACAATGGTATTTAGTTTTTCATTTTTCAATTTTTTAAATAGCAAAAATAATTCATAGCTGGCAAGAATACCGTGAGGAGTAGACAAATGTCAAATGCCCACAGGAGGTACTTGGTAGCCAGTCTCCAATATGGCCCCAGTGACCCCGGCTGGTTGGAGTTCTCTCTTGCACAATCCCCTGCTGTTGAGTGCAGGCTGGATGTGGTAGCTCATGTCTAACAGAGAGAAAAAGACAAGTAACAGTGTGTGACCATGTACTGCATAAGGGTCCCTATTTTCCCAAATCCTCACTAACACTTGATATTTTCTGGGTTTTCTTTTTCATAATTTCTGTAATTCTGAATGGATTTGAAGTGGTATCTCACTGTGGTTTTGATTTACATTTGCCTATTGATTAGTGATGTTGCACGATTTTCATGTACTTATTGACCATTTGTATATCTTTGGAGATATGTCTATTCAAATCTTTTGCACCTTTTTAAAAACCCAAGTTGTGTGTTTTCTTGTTGTTAAATTTAACAAAGTTCTTTAAATGTCTTTTATCAGACATACGATTTGCAGATATTTTCTCCCATGCTGTGGGTTTCCTTTTCATTCTGTTGATAGCATCCTTTGATGTATAAAAGTTTTTAATTTGAATGAAGTACGTGAAATTTATTTTTTTCCTTTGTTGTCTATGCTTTTGGTGTCATATTCAAATTCAACATCATGAAACTTTTCCCAATACTTTTTTTTTTTCAAGAGTTTTAGTTTTGGCTCTCATATTTGGTCCTTGATCCATTCTGCATTAACTAGGGTATGTGGCATAAGATACATTCCAACTTCATTTTTCATATGTGGATATCTAGTCTTGGGCTCTTTATTTTTAAAACATTTAGACTTAAGGAAAAATATACTATGTTGTCTTTATTTTTATTTTCCCCTGAAGATTAGCACAAACTTCACTAATGTCTATGGATTAAATACCCCAGTCTAAGAGAAAAACAATGATTACCTGAAATGGAGCTGCAGACTGAGGTGGGGGTGGGGCGGGGAGAAAGCCTGAGACGGAGAGCATTCTCTCATGCAGCCAATAGGATGTCATGGCTGATAGGACATGGGATGGGACATCAGGGAAGAAGACTGTTTGAGTGACAGAGCAGATCATATTTTGTCTAACAGTATCATATAGACAAAAAGCATTGTTTCTTTTTTTAATTGGTACTGGAGATTGAATCCAGGGGTACTCTACAACTGAGTTACATTCCTACCCCCTTTTTTCTCAGACCTTTTTATTTATTTATTTATTTATTTTATTTTGAAACAATCTTACTGTGTTGCTGAGCCTGGCCTTGAATTTTCAGTCCTCCTGCTTCTACCTCCCCAGTATCTAGGGTTTCATGCATGTGCCAATTCTAAAAACTGGAAGCCACAGTAGAACTCCGCTTAAGAAGCAAAGAAATTTTTGTTTAGAAAACATCTTGATATCTTGATTTATTCATTGGGGTGGGAAAGAAAACATGGAGGAGGAGGGGACAAAGAAGGACGAACTAACTTGCAAAGGGTGTGAGAATACTTGGTTTGGTAATGCAGCTACAAGGGTGAATAAGAGGGGCCCAAGAAAATGGGGGTAAAGAAAGAAGATTCAAGATGTTGGGAACAGAGGAAGCTGAGCATGATGGTGGAGGCTGGTGATGATGGGGAAGAGAAAGCCAGATTTCAGGGATCAGGTCTAGCCTTGGAAGAACAGCTCGTACTTCATGTCGTGTTTCTGCAGTTCTGTATGGTATGTAACCACCTCCATTGGTCTCAGCTTCCAGTAAACATCTGTGACATGTTCTACCTGGTTACTTCTTTAGCAAAGTGAGTTCAAGAAAAAAAGAACTCAGTCCCTATAGAGATTCATGGTTCGAGAAGGTCATGGTAGGCAAGAGGCAAAAGAAAGCTCTTTAGCTCTTTTCTTCTCCACCTATTAAACAAAACCCTGCACTTTGCAAGACTGAGCCTATATGAACCAATCCCTGTAGTTCAGGGAATGCAAAGTGCTGTTGGGCTTAGACCTTGGTTTCTCCGAATCTCTGAAATCATCACTGAGATAAAGAAGTACATTATGCTGATACCTTCAGGCCTAGGGTCCATGCACTCAAATTCATGGCTTTCACACATAGAAGCGAGGTGGGAAGATGTGCAAAGATGTCACAATGTCCCTGACCAGCCAGGGTTTGAGCCAGTTTTCCAATATTAAAGCAAAAGCTTTAAGACCTAACCCCCACCCACAGGTTGCAGGTCCAATAAAAGAAAAAAAGCCCTGCATATTGGCTAATGGCTTGACACTCTTTGGTGGTAGTGTTCAAGCATTTTTCAAACATTTTGATTTCCAAGTATGAACTATAATATATTCATGGACACAGGGCAGAGTTGCAGAGAACTGGTCTTCCTGGGTTCAAGTGCCAGCTCTCCCTCTACACTGACTTCTGTGACTTGGCTTCCTAGCCATAAAATGAAAGAAATAATAATAATGCCTCAAAGAATTGGTAGGAGAATTAAGTGACTGAATATTTACAAAACCCTTAGAACACTGACTGGCACATGCTGTTTGTTATATTTAAAAAAATTAAAAACAAGAAGCTCTGAGGTCTCTGATGGACTCCTAGGTTTTTAGTCTCCTTCCCAGAACCTACTTGCCTCCTTCATCTCATGACCCAGAGGGAACCATCTCCTAAAATCAGCTTGCAATCAGTTGACTCTCCCTAACCTCCACAAAACAGATTCATCTCCAGGGACCAAGAATAAAAACTGGCCTGATATTGATCAGGCTTCAGGGCCATTCTTTCTTTCCAGTACCAAATTGTTCCATTTAGAACATTAAGAAGCCAGAGAGTTACCCAATGGTATCTTGTTCGGGGGTGGAAGGAGCGAGCACCCCATAAAACGGCTGCCAGTGGAGCAGCATTCTGGCTGGGTAGCACTTCCCGATTATCCTGGGCGGTTCAAATCACAGGTGATGATTCTATCTTAAATACTAGGTGGAAGCCCTTTCCTTAATCAGACATTCAGACAATAACTCAGAAAATGTGCTGAAACACTTTTTTTTTTTCAGGGTGCAGTTGGTAATAATGAAAAAAATGGAAAATGATTAAAATAACCAGCCAAAGTAAATAAATTATGGTGAAGCCCCATGATAAAACTACTCAGCCACTAAAATTCATATTTTCCCAAAACTTTCAGGGACAATTCAAAATTTTTCTATAGAAGATTAAAGGAAAAAAGGCAACCATAAAACAGCATAAAGTCAATGTCCCCTTTGTGAGAAAGACACACACTGGCCCACACACTTGAAGAACTAAAAGACTGGAGGGATGTAGAGCAGAAGCGAATCAGTAATTGCTTCTAGGTGGTTTTAATTTTCTTCTGTAAATTTTCAAGTTTTCGGGCTGGGATGTGGCTCAAGCGGTAGCGCGCTTGCCTGGCATGCGTGCGGCCCGGGTTCGATCCTCAGCACCACATACAAACAAAGATGTTGTGTCCGCCGATAACTAAAAAATAAATATTAAAATTCTTTCTCTCTCTCTCTCCCTCTCTCACTCTCTCTTTAAAAAAAAAAAATTTCAAGTTTTCCATAATCCTGATGCTACCACTCACTTCATTTACCCTATTGTAAACCCCTAGATGACGACCTCGACAGAGACGGTCCCCATATTCCCGTTAATATCCCTGCAGTTGCCCTGAATTCTTTACATTCTACAACCTGGTCATTAAATTCTTCAATGTTGTGTGATTGCTTCGTCTCCACCCAATATATTTTCTTTTCACTTACTTAAGAGGTGGAGCTGGCTTATAAACAAAAGAAAAGAACATTAATTCATACTATACCCTCATTGCTCCAGGTACATACACTATACATCCTCAACTAAATTCTGAGCTCTTCAGTGCTGAGGATTGTGTTTTTTCCTTTCTGTCAGAAGACAACAAAGCCTGTTCTCAAACACAGGAGCTTAAGTACTGTGGCTCTCTCTCCAATAGGCAGGGAGCCCAAAGAGGCATACAGCAAACATCTTTGGAAAGAATATAGGTCACTGAATGGCCTAAGGTGTGGGGAAGGTGGTACAAAACGAAGGGCATCTCTTCTCTAATCAGCCACAGGGACACAGGATCAGGGCTTTTCAAGAGCAGGGCTAGCTTTTAGGAGGCAGAAAAGTCCGTGAGTGCTGATCCTATTATAAAGGCATTCTTTCCACTGCTCGTCATTAACCAGCGGGCCCGACTCACTGCGAGACAGTGCACCAGGAAAGAGAGCCCTGCAGCGGAATCCCTCCCTAGTCTAATGAGAAATGAAACTGAGGCTGGGATCCACATAAACAAAAATCCTGGACACATTTTAAGAGGTCCTTCTGAAGTTAGAAAATGCAGGCTCACACCTGCTTATGGACGGAAACCTTCCAACCAGGCTCTTCTTTTTCTTGTAAAGAAACAATGTCATAAATAATATACATTTTGTGCAATGGGGTGTTTTTATTTAATTTTTGCAAGCACTGTGCAATATTTCCAATCTCCTCTCCAAAATAATAAGATAATTTAATTTAAGCAAGGGTTAACTTCAACACCTCTATACTAGGCTTGATGCCTGCCCTTTGGGTCCAGGTCTCTCTGTCTCTTCGAGTCTCTACCTCTATTTCTCCAACTCCTTTTGGCTTCCAGTGCCATCCACACACTGGATGAGATGGTGCTCCAGTGTCTAGCGAGCCCGCTTGTAATCTTTAACACTAAACTGCAAATGCACAGAGCCAGGTGGGACCTTGCTCATCGCTGTAGTCATTTGGCTGGCACTTAGTAGAGAGTTCAGCAATGCACTTGATAAACATTGGCAGGATACAACCTGTGTTCCAGGACTACACTCGGTGCTGGGAATAGAAACTGGCCACCTAAGCTTCCAGAACTTAACTTCAAGCTTGTGAGATAGATGTGAATCCAATCAGCACACAAAAATTATTAAACATCTGTTATGGTACCAAACTCTATTCTAAATGCTGAGGAGGTGACAGTGAGCCTTTACTCTTGTGGAGTTTATATTTCTACTTACACTGTAGTTAACACACAACGGGGAGATACATGGTACCATAGGTTTTACAGCAAGGTACTTTGCCTGGCCTGGATGGTGATCAGAGGAGACTGCCCTGAAGAAATGACCATTTTAAGCTCCTAAGCCTGTGCCTGGGATATAGTAAATAGTATGAGT